TCCAGGATCCGTCCGAAACTGCAGAAGAAGACATGAGCGAGCCATCTCCCCCGCCGGCTGCTGGAAGGCGACGAGGGACGATTGGGCCTGGACGTCAGGCAGGTCTTGCGTCCAAGCCGGTTCGCAAACCTGCAGCGACCTCCGCTAAGGGCCGGAAGCCGGCGACGGCCAAGAAGGAGGGTCCTAAACCTCTTTCGCCGAAGAAGGCAACGCAGGTCGCCAAAGCGCTTTCGTCGTACGCCGACTCGGATGGAGAGGACGACGAGCTGAGCGGCGATAAAGATCAGGTCAAGTTTGTTGTCAACTCACCCCCCAAACACGGATCAGAAAATACCGGCCTTAGTTCACCAGTGAAGAAGATCAATATCACTGGAAAGTTCCGGAAATCTCTCGACGAGAACGGCGAGCCTCTGCCTGGCCCTAGACGATCGATCGACTTTAATGATACACTCCTTATGTCCAGCCCTGCTCGTCGACCACCCCCTTCACCTTTCAACTTCTCAATGAGGGAAACACCCAAGCGTGGAGCGTTCGCTTCACGCGATGACCCCAAGTCGTTATCACAACCCCATCTCTCCCCAACACACAATTCACCGCTCAAATTGTCGCCCAGAAAGGCACACTTGGAGACTCCGAAGCGAGGAAGCGTCTTTTTGGACAGTGGCAAGCCGTTGTCGCAACCAAACTTTACCCCAGGGCACAATTCCCCCCTCAAGGCGTCACCCAGAAAGGGCCTATTCGGGGCGTCGTTCACGTCACAGGCCCACGCCGAATCCACGTCGACCCCATTGAGACACAGTGTATCTTTCCTTCAGAGCCCGGCAAAAAGGATTGCATCGCCATTGAAAAGCTCGTTGTTTGCAAGCAGAAGCCCCATAACCGAGAATGTCCAGGCTGACACCAGAGATGTGGAAGAACCTGCAACCCCTGACGTCGACGAATCGCCGCTTAGAATGACCGATTTTCAGGAAGCCAGGGATGCTGAAAGTGAAGACGAGCAGGTTGATGACAATATCCCCGAGGGAGTGGAAGATAACGATGCGACCAAGGAAATCGATACGAAATCCCCAGCCGCTGCAGAAGAGTCCGACGAAGATACTCTGCACGAAGAGTTTGATCGGGAGCAGACCATAGAGTATGAAGAGGAATACACGGGAAATGCGGCTGAGGATGTCACGACGCATGAGGAGCATATTGAAAGTGACGTTCCCAATGACCAGCAGGTTGAAGAGCCTGCTGACGAGTTGGTCGAAGCCACTGAGGAGCCTCTGGAGGAGTCTGAAGAAGAATTTAGGGACGATGCCATGGAGGAACCTGCTGATGAGCTAGTCGAGCCTACAGAGGAGCCCATAAAGGAGCCCAACAACGAGCCTATGGAGGAGCCTATGGAAGAATACACGGAGGAGATGGCCGAAGAATCTGTTAGTGATCCGACCGAGCATATCGATGAGCCTGTTGAGGAACCCATGGAAGAACTCGCCGATGAGTCAGTGGAGCCACCCATGGAGGAGACTGAGGAGTCTGTCGAAGCAGGAGCGACTGAGCCTGCCGAGGAATCTACTGAACCTCCCATCAAAGAGCTCGTTACCGAGCCTGACGCTGAACTTGTCAGGGAACCGGAAGCTGAGCAGACCCACCCAACGGTTGAAGATGAAGAGACTGGCGAGATGAGTAACGAGCATGAAGCTCTGGAGAACGCCATCGAGTACGCTGAAGATGGTCCAGAGCTCGATGCTGAGGTTTCCGTCCCCGACACTAGAGAGGACACCGTGGAAATGGAAGATATTTCCGTTTCCCTGCCCAAGGACTTTAGCCCGTCAAACCGCAGTGAGACGCGCGAACCTATCGTTGAAGAAGAGCCTTCAGCCGGGTACGACCAAGAAAATGTTGAGCAACCCGAGCATGAGGCAGAAGAGCGCACTGAGACAACGAACCCGGCAACTGAAACTGCTCCAGGCCCAGCCAACACAGGACTAAGAAGCAGCTTGGTTGAAGGCCTTGAGGATGTCTTTGTCGAACGCGCAGCACCCCCCGAGCCTGTCAATGATGACCGTGATGGCTCGGAGACGGAGGACGACCCGGATATGCTGGAGGCGGCCGACGAAGAGAATGCTGCAGATGCTTTTGACGACTTCGACGACGTGGACGACCAGTACACATTCGATGACAGCGAACCAACGCTCGTAGGGTTCGAACCGACCGAGCGGATCCCACCTAACCTCGTTCCCATTCAGCCATACGAAGTCGAAGAGGCGGAAGATCCATTCAGCCCTTCGCGTCAGGCTCAAAATGCCTCCAAACGTGTTCTCTCGCCCGTTCGTATCCTTGAAAGCCCTATCAGGCGAAGCCCTATCAGGCGCAGCGCGAGGAATGCTCCTACACCTGCAGCAGCCATGGACAATGGGACGCAAAACAATGCCGACCTCTCGGACCCGTTCGTTGAGCACAGTCGTGCAACACCTCGTCGTAGATCTACTCGAGGACTACTTTTCGACAACGCCCCTCGTTTCACACCACTGGCGCAACAGTTTAGACAGTGGAAATCTAACAGCCCTGAGAAGGCACAGGCGACGCGACCTCGAAGGGGAATCTTCTCTTTGGGAGGCCGCAGGAGGTCTAGCAACGTTACTAGTACCTCTGAGGTTCCATATCCTGATGTATCCAGGCAGGCAGAAGCTTCATCGTCTAAGCCGCAAATTTCGCAGCAAGAGCGGGAAGATGTCGATGTGCCTGAGGTTGCTGGAACTGAAGAGCAGGAGCCTGAAGAAAATGCCGAGCCAGGCCACGAGGAGACCCCAATGCCTGTTTCGCCTGCTCCGCAGGAACAGAGTGAGGATGTCGACGTCCCGGAGTACGACGAGGATCAGGAGCAGGAAGCGGAACCGATTGCTGAGGAGCCAAATCAACCTTCATCAGCTGAGTTGCCAACTCCGCAAGAAGACTTGAATGATGTTGATATGTCTCTACCTGAAGAGCAAGATCAGGATCTGGAACCAGTTGATGATGAGCCAAGCCCGGAGAAGGCTTCATTGCCCATCTCGCCTATTCTGGAGGAAGACAGCAATGATGCCGATATGCCTGCTATACATGAAGACGAGCCGTCACAGCCCATTGGCGACATGCCCAGCAAAACGGAGGCTTTGCCGACTGAACCTGACACTTTGCAGGAAACTGACAAGTCTGCTGATATGCCCGAAATTTACGAAGACGAAGATTCTGGTTCTCAGCAAGCTGGCGATACTGAGATCTTCGAGGAGCCGTTGGAGCAGTCCGCAGAGGTAGTTGAGAGCAGCCAGGAGGCTGTGGCCGACGCAAGCGAGGATAAGGAGAACATGTACGCAGTGCCGTCTGTGCCTGACAATCTCGCTTCTGAGTCGCAGCCAGACAAGGAAAGAGAGCTCGGGGATATTCCCATTCTCGCACCTTCCACTCCGATGAAGAACAGAATTCCTGAGATGCAGACTGTACACACGGTTTCTAAAGTTCCACTCAAGCCCGAAGGCCAGATATCGCCGTTGAAAATGTCGCGCAAGCGTGGTCTTTCGCTCTCTGCCTCTTCCCCAGGGCGCTCCTCGAGACCCCGCATGTCGGCAATTGCACCAATCGCGCAGAATGCCCCCCAGCTGTCACCTCGCAAATCGCCCCGGCTACAAAGAACCGCTTCGCGCCCGTCACTCGGCCAATCGCATACTCATGATACAGCTAGAAAACCCATTGAGGCTCAAAGACCTGCACCGCCCAAGCGGCCCTCATACTCTCCCAGCCCTAAGAAGAAGACGAAAGCGCCCCGCACGAGCATCAATGCTCCCAAGCTCGCCCTACAGGGTTCTGTTGTATATGTGGATGTGCACACAACTGAGGGAGAGGATGCTAGCGGCATTTTCATTGAGCTTCTGCAGCAGATGGGAGCCCGGTGTGTGAAGAATTGGTCGTGGAACCCTCGCGCCAGTGTATCTCCGGAGGAGGGAACAGAGCCCAAGGAGGGCAAGGTGGGAATCACCCATGTCGTCTACAAGGATGGAGGTGTCCGAACTCTGGAGAAGGTCCGACATGCCAGAGGCCTTGTCAAATGTGTTGGAGTCGGCTGGGTCCTTGAGTAAGTTATTCACTTGTCTGCCATGGATGCAGGTACTAACGTTGCACAGCTGCGAACGTGAGAACAAATGGCTCGATGAGGCACACTACGAAGTCGACCTGTCTATTATCCCCCGTGGTGGTGCTAAGCGTCGCAAGAGCATGGAACCACGCGCTTTGAGCAACGTCAATGGCACTCTTGTCAAGACCGACGCGGCGAGTGCATCTGCAAACCGCAGACGATCTAGCCTTGCTCCTCCCAGAGAATCCATCCCCAGAGATGCGACACCCTCTTCGCGTGATGAGCCATCTACCCCCGACGCCACCCCTAAGATTGGCGCCGGTCACACGGAAGCAGACCAGCAGTACTGCCACACGCCCAAGACTCCGGGCTACACCCTTGACATGGATGCTATTGGCATGTCGCCAGCCACACCATTCTACCTGTCGCAGCGGACGAAGCTCGTGCAGCAGACGTGTCCTCCGAAGCAGACCCGCCAAGGTCTCTTTACCACGCCGGCTGCAGCACGCGAGCCGAACCAGAAGCTGCGGGCCAAACTGGAGGCAGCTAGACGAAAGAGTATGGCGTATAAGCCGCGAGTGGGGAGTCCCCTTGTTGAGTAGATTTTGGTTGATTTTGTTCGCACCGGATTGGTTTAATTTCTGCATGGTTCTGGTTACTGGATAATCTGTTTATGGTTATGGTTATACTACATACCCCTTTGTTGTCTAGTGGCGTATGGTTGGATTATAGTACTTGGAATTCATTTCATCTTCATCCGTTTATGTGTTTTTTTCAGCTTTGAAGCGTTGTAATTTTGACGATGGAGGCATAATCGATGTTGATTCGTAATTCATTATCATTACAATAAGACATAATTTGTCGATGCGAGACCAGCTCAACTCAACCTACCGCAGTCGTATACTCACAGACCCGGACCAACAGAGACGAAGGCTCTCATGGCATCCACCACATTCCCATCATGCAATCTTAACAACTCGGTCGCAGTGTTCTTATTCAATTCCAACTCCTCGACCTTGTCCACCGTCGCCATTAGCCTCCACCCAAACAGTTGTCCAAGGTATTGACATACCAAAAGATTCACATCCTCCACCGCCACCTTAACCGCCTTCTTCTTAGCCCCTTCCACCGGAACCCTCTTCTGGGCCTCAACCGGCTTCTGCACGCCACCACGACCAGCACCACCAGTTTGTCCCGAGGCGATCTCCAAGCGACTCATTGCCTGACCCAGAGCTTCCTGGTCTGCAGCGGAGGGAGTGGAGGAGGACTTGGGGGTGTCGGGGGCGATGTGGCTGGGGTTGAGGGCGGAGAGGGCAGCGGCGGCTTTGCGGTCTTCGGCGTTGGTGGGGTGTTGGTGTTGATGATGTTCATCGGGGTGGGCGGAGGGGATGGAGTCGGACATGGTGATTGATGATACTGATTGATTGATTGATTAATTGATTTGATTGATGCAGGATAAGTAGATGGGTTTGGAATTGGACTGTCAGACGTTAGTCAGGTCAGGGGCAAACAATGAAGTTAACCAAGTAGCTAAGTTTTATAAATTATGGTAGAGATAAGTAGTAGTAGTATTGAGATGACGTCGGAGTTCAATAATAAAATGGCATGGCAAAGAGAGCAAATTGCCTGTCTGGGTTAGCGGGACAGGCGTGACTCAAAAGGGTCCAAATCCGCGAATAACCGATTTTCTTTTTTTTCTGCATTGAAAGTTAATTTAATTGAAAGTGTAACGTGTTTGTTGTTCTTTGCTTTTCTTTCTATTCCTCATCTCGATTGCTTCTTTTTCTTCTTCGTCGTCTTCCTCTACTTCCATCTCTTTTTTCCTTGCCTCGTTGCTGTCATTCATTCTTCCAATTCCAAAGAGCGGTGGGGAATCAACATCCACTCTTGACAGCTCCCTAGCGTCGATCAATCACTAATTACTCCTCGCTGCCTCCACCGACTCTGTCACAATGGCGGAGTCAGAATGGTCTCCTAGCTGTGTGTATACCCATCTACCTTTCCTCTTATGAGGAAGGAAAAGTAATGCGATGACTGACCCCCACCAGCTTGGGCCTCGAAACCCATCAAGCAGGATGTCGTTTATGACGATGCGGCGGGCGTACAAGCCGCACTGGCGAAGCTGCAGAAACTCCCGCCGTTGGTCACGACTCAAGAGGTGCGATCTATCGTTTCGTTGAGAGCTGAACAGACAAGCTGATATAATTTTAGGTGAATGACTTAAAGAAGAGCTTGAAGAATGTTGCATTGGGAAAGGCCTTTGTACTCCAGGGTGGTGAGTACACGGATTTAGATTCCGCATTACCGCCGGTACTGATACTGTGCAAGGCGACTGCGCGGAGCTGTTCGATTACTGCAATATGGACATGATTGAAGCCAAGGTGAAGCTGCTTCTGCAGATGAGTTTGGTTTTGATTTGGGGTATGTCTCTTACTATAACTCTAATATAACGAATCATGCTAATATCACCCAGGAGCAAACAAGCCTGTCGTCCGTATCGCCCGAATTGCAGGCCAATTCGCCAAGTAAGTCTTCACTCTCTACATAAACAACAACGACACCCACTAACGACAAACAGACCCCGCTCCAGCCCAATGGAAACCATCGACGGCGTCGAAATGCCCTCTTTCCGCGGCGACAACATCAACGGCTTCGACGCGACCCCCGAGTCCCGCAAACCAGACCCCTCCCGGCTGGTCTCAGCCTACTTCCACTCCGCCGCGACACTCAACTACATGCGCGCCTCTCTCTCCTCAGGTCTCGCCGACCTGCACTCCCCTCTAGACTGGGGTCTCGGACACGTCATCACCCCCTCCATCCGGGAGAAATACACCAAGATCGTCAACCGCGTCAAAGACGCCCTGCGCTTTATGCAAACCGTCGGCATCGACACCGACCGCGGCGTCGAGACCGTCGACATCTACACCAGCCACGAAGGCCTCCTCCTAGAATACGAACAAAGCCTCCTCCGACACCTCAAGAACCCCGACCCTCCCACCACCTCCACCCAGCCCCTCAAATCCTACTACGCCACCTCCTCTCACTTCCTCTGGATCGGCGACCGCACCCGCCAAATTAACGGCGCACACGTCGAATTCTTCCGAGGCATCGCCAACCCCATCGGCATCAAAATCGGCCCTAGCATGACTCCCGCTGAACTCACCTCCCTCCTGGACATCGTGAACCCAGCCCGCGAAATCGGCAAAGTCACCCTCATCTCGCGCTACGGCGCAGCAAAGATTTCACAATACCTCCCCGCCCACATCGCCGCCGTACAGGCCTCGGGACACATCCCCGTCTGGCAATGCGATCCCATGCACGGTAACACGCAGGCCACGCCGTCCGGGGTGAAGACGCGGCATTTCAGCGATATCTTGTCTGAGCTGAAGCAGGCATTGGAGATACATCGCGCGGCGGGGTCATTCCTGGGCGGAATGCATCTGGAGTTGACGGGTGAGGCAGTTACGGAGTGTGTGGGTGGTGCTGGGGGGTTGACAGAGGAGGGGCTGAGTGAGCGGTACACGACGTTTTGTGATCCCAGGTTGAATGAGAAGCAGGCGTTGGAGTTGGCATTCTTGGTGGCGGGGTTTTATAGGGAGTTGGATGAGGAGTTGGCGGAGGATGAGTCTATATAACCAGCCCAGACCCCTTGGGACTAAAAATGGAAGGATAGTAAGGTTTTTATGATGGTATGGAATTAATATACTTTTTTTCGGGTTATTGGTAAGCCATTTCTGCTAAGTATTTAAGGATGTGTTGAGAGGGGAATTGTTTCATTGATAGCTAGAGTTGATTGGACTACTTTGATCCTTTCTATCTACTACCTTTATAGTTTGATATCCATATTTATACTACCTCTACTTCATTCCATACCCGTATCCAACAAACCATGAATAGTAGTCAAATGATATCCATTGATAGTATACTATAAATATGAATAAAGGCCGTCTCGTCTATCATCATAACCCAACTGACCCACCACCATCTATCCATCCCATATACACACCAAACTAAATGCATATATACACAACTCCCCCACCCATCCCCCTACATACTACTTCGTAGTAGAAGACCTCTTCTTCCTCTCAATCCCCCTCCCCTCCCAAATAAACCACAACACAACCCACCCAACCATCGCCTCCACGGCCAACCCCCACCAAACACCCCCGACAAAATTCCCCCTCAACCCCTCACCCAACCCCCAACCGCCCAAAAACGGCCCTAACGTTCTCGCCGCAGACGAAATACTCTGCGAGACGCCATTAATCGTGCCGAGCACCTTCGCATCTGAGACACTATTATTGACCAATATCACAGCAGCGGGTAGTGCAAACGTCCTCGACACGACCTGTAGTGCGATCACCACGGTAAACGCAGGCCAGACGATGTATGCTGCGCGGGGAAGAAGGAGGAGGAAGGGCATGAGGGCGTATGCGAGGGAGGAGAAAGGTAGGAAAGTGCGGAAGGAGCGTAAGGTACCCAGGTAGCCTTGGACCCAGGGGTAGATGAAGATTTGGAGCGGGAGGCCGATGATTCCGATGATGGCGGTGGCGAGACCGACGCGGGAGGAGGGCAGGCCGAGGCCGCCTGAGAAGTGGAACCAGCCGGTTCTGGTGGAGGGAGGGGCGCGTGGGGTGGGGAGGAAGGTGAAGGTGATGGCGTTGAAGGCGGAGGTGTGGAAGGCGAGGAGGAATTGGGCGAGGAGGGTGAGGAGGACGTTGCGGGTGTAGATTTGGCGGAAGGAGGGGCGGGATGAGGTTGTTGTTGTTGATGATGGCTTAGGGCGCGAGGAGCGGCTGCTGATGCTGATGCTGCGGCGGTGGTGGGAGGTGTTGTCGATGTAGAGGGATTCGTCGTCGGGGTGTTCGGTTAGTCGTTGGTAGTATTTGCTGTCTTTGCGTCTGGTGCGGCGGAGGGCGCGTGAGATGCGGTGCCCGAGTTGACGGCCCCAGTCGCTGCGGTGGCGGGCTGTTTCGTGGGTCTGTAGCTTGATGATTAGATGATGGGTTGAAGGGGGTATTGGATTGGGGATGGGGCGTACCTCGTCTAAGCCGAAGAAGACGGCCAGTAATGAGCAGAATATGAACACTGCACTGAGCAGGTTCGGTAACAGGAACGGCCATTTGCGCATCCACTCCACCCCATTCGCACCACCCAGGAACGTGCCTGGACCGAAGATCTGGGGATAGTTCTTGACTGGATCTGCTAGGGCACCGCCCAGCACTGGGCCGATAATGACGCCGATGTTGAAGCACATGGGCAGTAAGAGGAACGCTCGAGATTGATACCTACATATGTTAGTGATCTTACTCATCTTAGAAAAGGTACAGGGTATGGACGTACTTCTTCTCCTCAATAATCTCCGCAATCATCGTCCTCATCACACCCACATTACTATTCAACACACCTCCCAGCGTGCGAAACACCGCAGCAGCCACAAACGACCGCGAGAACCCAAATCCCAAGCATGAGATACACGTCCCCAGCGACCCGATCAGCAACACTCTCTTCCTCCCCATCCACTCCGCATCAGCTAGTCGTCCCCACCACACAGCCGTCAAGAACTGCGCCGCGGTGAAACTTCCCTGCAGGATGCCTGCCTGTCCGGAGATAGTCGAGTCCGGTAGGGACGGATCGAACGATTTGAGCTGGTAGAACATGTACGCTTGCAGGGAGGTCTGGGTGAGTGGCTCTGAGAGACGGGCGATGGTCAGGATAGCGAGTTGGCTCTTTTTCGGTAGTGAGGACCATGTTACGGGTTTTTCGTCGGCGTCGTTGTTCTCTTCGTTGGGGTTGGGGGCGTCCTCGTTCGCGATCAGATTGGTATCTTCTTCATCGTCATCGTCGCTGGAGCTAAAGCTGTCGCTGTCGCTGTCACTGAAGCTGCTGTCATCGTCGTCGTTGTCGCTACTGTTGTGATCATCTACTGATAAGCGCCGCGACTGGGAGGATTCGGGCATGGGCGCCGGCGCAAGTATACGGGTCTGCGCCGAGCTGCCGTCGTGAATGGCAGTGTTGACGCTGTCTTTGTCGCCGTCGATGGAGGAATCGACTGACATGGCGGGCGACAGAAATTGGGTGTCCGGATTCTTGCGGAGGCGTGAGGCGTCGGCCTCGGGCGCGGAGATAGCAGTAGTAGTATCTACATGATTGTCGGTGTGGGAGTTGCGGATCTCGGGTGGTTGTGTGGAGGTCATATATAGATCTTATCGTCAAGAACAGTAGGAGAGTCTGGGGAAGCCGTCAGGTACTTCAAAGTCAAAATTCAACGGAGATGATAAAATCTACGGAAAAAGAAAAGGGTGGGAACAAATCTGGGGAGAAGAAGAAAGTGGATAAGAAGAAAGCCGAAGAGGCGATGAGCCAAAGATTCGCCCGAAGCTTGTCATCCCCGCTAAACCTGCCTCGGGTTTAGTCGCCGCGACTTTGCCGATGCCTGATTCTGTATAGACGAGGATGCGACATGCATATCGCTCCCCATTCTTCTCATCCTGCACTGTGTAACACCGCGTCCCTTACATGGCTAGGTACCCCCTACTCAGTTAAACGAACATTGCATGTACGCAAGCAAGTATTGACTCATCTGTGCTACCGTTTTAAAAACATATTATCAAATCCCATCCCAGACAGGCAGTAGTCAATTCAACAAGGCTAGGCACTCCCTGCATCCGAATCAGAACGCCGTATCCAACACTATTAAGGACAAAGAGAAGAAAAGAAGAAGAAAAAGGAAGAAAGAAAGAGGGGTGAAGGGCAAGTCCGATCGCATCCCGTTGCGAGATTAACACCTGGACGGAGATCTTATTCAGTCCGTCGACGTCCAAGAACAACCTCAAGCAACAGGCATATGAACGAGTCTGAGGACTCTCAAAGACAGTCACACACCACATGCACGGCGGACACATTCCTCGAGGATCAACTCAAAGACCCTGCGCATCATCGCGTTCTCAAAAACCAGGGACATACACAAAGTCAGTCGGAAACCTGATCCGAAAACATTACATCTGCACAAGACTAGGAGAGCGTGAGAGAAAAGAAAAAAAAAAGAATGAAAGACAAGGGGAATAGAGAAAAGTACACTGTTAAAATCACACATGCTCAAGACCAATGTAACAAATCAAGGAAAAGAAGAGCGATAGCTCAGTGGTATTCAACTAGTTGCGACGGCTTCCACCAGTCCTGCCCGTCATCTCCAGAGTACTTTCAAACCCCTCCCAAGGGAGCTCATCATCGTCTTCCGAGTCCGGTTCCTTGCGAGAGGACTTGTCCGTGGTGGCGGTGACGTCTGCTGTCCGTCCTGCCGTATCAATTCCAATCGACTGAAGAGTCACTTCCATCTCCTGCTCCGTCATCTCACGGCCATTCTGCTTCTGACCTTCAAGGACGTCGTACAGCGCATAAATCTGGTCGGCCTTCATGTCGATATCCTTCAACAGCTTCTCGATCTTCTCGCCCACAGACTTCCTCTGTCGCTTGCTCAGCGAGGCATCCAGCTTGTTGTACGAGCCCTGGTATGCTACCAGCTGCATCTTCAGGTGGGCCAGCTCATCTTCCAAAGCCTTGAGCACGGTCGCGAGGGCAAGCTCTGGCGATTGCGCGGGGCGCATGGTAGGCTCCTCATTGTAGACGGACGGCTCGGGCATACGCTCCGAAACGGGAACGGGCTTCGGAATCTTCACTGCCTCTGCAGTATGTTCACAAGAGGCACCTGGAATGGACTGCTTGCAGACCGTGCAGTTTTTCCCATTGTGCTTAGTGGCACTGTCAAGTGCACGCTGAGCAGGTTCAGGAAGCTTTGAAAGATTGTTCTCGACCAGATGCGCGGGGTTGAACGTAATATCAGGCAAGATAAAGGCCGAGGTCATCTCTTCGGCCATCCTCCGCCGGCGTCGCTGAGAAGCAGCGGCCCCGGAGTTGTCCGAATGCCGTCTGGGGCGTTCGACAGGCACCGACAAGTTACTTTCTCCTTCAGTCATGCTAGCCTTGGAGTTGGCGGTCAAGTCACCCATGGCCGAGGCGGGTCTAGATGGCAACCCCTTACTTTCTTTGAGGGAAGACTTTCTGGGAATCGTCGACTTAGCCAGGCTCTGCCTGGTCGTGTTTCCGGTCTCGTTTGCAGTCTGCTCTTTGCTTGTACTCGACTGCCGCCGTTTCCGAGCCAGACGTTCCTCTTCCAGCGTCTTCCGTAGTTGAGCAATTTCACGTTCCTGAAACTCGAGTAAGTACGGGTGTGTAATGTGGCAATAACACGAAAGGCAACTTACATCAACGAAGCTCAGCAGGGTCAAGTCCTGCTCCGTTGCATTGGATTTCTTGGTGTTTCCAGTGACTTCCCCACTCGATTCAACAGGCTCAGTCTCCTCTACCTCTTCGACAACCACTCTCTTGACGCGCTGTTTGCCAGTGTTGGACTGCTTCCTGGTGCTCACATCACTGCTCTCCGACCGGCTCTTGGACTTTCCTGATCTCGACTTGGACTTTTCCCTGGTCTGGGGAACGTCGATCGAAAACAGTGCCTCTTCTGCACGCTCCTTTTCAAGCCGGGAAATTTCCTTATCGACCTGCGTCGAGATCTTGGCGCGCGAATCTTCCTGACGTCTAGACTTGGATCGCGAGCTCTTGCCAGTGACTTCGCGGGTGCTTCGGCTCGTATGCTTGCTATGCTGCGTATCAATTTGGCTATCCTCATCGCTTGCATCAGTCATAGAAGACTGCTCTGACTCGACTGTGTCCTCACGTGCTCTGGAGCCCGCGGACAAGATCTTCGATATCTGCGACTTCAAGTCTGCATTCTCCTGGCGCAGACTCTCATTCTCGCTCTTGAGGTCTTGGCTCTCCAGATATGCAACTCCCAATTGAGAGACTGCCATGTCTCGTTCTCGGTTCAGCCGCTTTAAAGTCGATTCCTGAATTTGGGCCTTTCTTTCGATAATGTCGAGTTTGTTCTGCAAAGCCAGATTGGCGGCATCTAGTTCTGCATACAGAGTTAGCTCAGTATCGCGATGACCAATATAGAAGTGCTTACTTTGGTTCTCGTTGGCAAGCTGATCTCTTCGGTAGTCATCCTCGTCGGATTCGTAAGGTCGGCTGCGACCATGCTTATCCTTTGAGCGCTTGTTTGCCCTCAGCGCTTCATTCTCCCGCTTCATATCATCCATCCTCCGTTCGGCGTCAGACTTGGACCTCTCCAATTCTGCAACCTTGTCCTGCAAGAGTCTCAATGAAACGAAGAGTGCCTTTTCATCTTCCGGAATGGGGACAGCATCCAGCGGCATGTGTTCGCGAGTCAAAGAAACATCAGTAGCATCATGCGGAGGGGAGACAAAGCGCGTCGTCCGTGCTCTGTTCTGACGCGCATACACGGGCGTGCCGTCTTCATAGACGCCCGAGACCAACTCTGACAAGTTGGGAAGATCCGGTAGTAGGAATGACTGCTGAGTAGCCGTATCACCTGCATTGTTGGCCATATTGCGAGAGCTGTTACTGGACTTTCCGCGACGGAGTTCGCGAGCGTAAGCCTCCTGAGAAGCCTTCTCCACCGCATCGGCAATCTGATGAGAGAGGTTGGGGTTTCCAAAACGTGTCGGACGCGTACTGTTGGCCATGACCGGAGGCCTTTCGTCCTCGATTAGGGATCCTTCATAAGTATCGCGAACCTTTGCGTGCATGTCTGACAGCGTTCGTCGCTCTTTGCGGTTCGACTTGGCTGTGTGGGGATCAACGTTCTCCTTATGGGCAAGGCTGGCGCGTCTGATTTGTGCATCCTTTCGGAGACTATCGCTGACCGCTCTTCGTGCCGGGTTCCGCAGAGCAGACTTCTGAGGGGTATTAGAAGTAGGATAATCGAGTCTGACGGCGGGTGACGACGAGCGAACGCTGTTTTCGATGCTCATGTAGGAGTTTCTCGAGTCGTCCAATCGACGGGGAGGTTTTGTCGGGCCTCGGCCGGCCTCAATGGAGATGCTGTCGTCGTTGTCGGCCTCTTCTTCCTCTTCGGATGTGCCGACCGGGGAGAAATCTGGTAGATATTGCTCGAAGGTGGATGTGTTGAAAGCGTAGTCGGGCTCTTCTTCCTCGTACTCGTGGCGCTTCCTGGCGTTGGTGTGCATGGACGGAAGTCGGGGGCTACCATGACCGAGCTCCTTGGTGGACGCGAGCGCCTCGTGCTCAGGGTCGAAGTCGGAGCCAAACGACGCGAAGCTATTCGTTGTTGCTTCGCGCGACATGTTGCCGGCTGATGTGACGCGCCTATTTGGGATGGTTTATTGACGGAGTGAAAAATCGAGTACCTCACAGGTATTCAATGATCAAGCTGACTGAATCAGCAAAGTAGACTTGGAAGTAATCCGCTCGTTGTTCTGAGGCTGCAAGCTGCACGGCGGACAGTCAAATGTTTAGAGAGTCGCTGGTAGCGCGTCGGTGCAGCGCGAGTCTCCCGGCTTGAGGAGGAAGTAGCCAGGGAAACCACCACTGAAAGAAAGGACGACAGTGCAATTGCCTAGAGAAGACAAGCCACTGCGGTTTCCAGACTATCGCAGAAGCAGCACAATTGCACGGTAAGACCTGGCTAACCGGCTAGACAACGCAATGGGGACGCGAGTGGATGATGCGACGGAAATAAATGAGGAGGCTGGGCTGGCAACAAGTTACTACGTCCTCGACCAAGTGGAACTCGCCCGCTGCTTTTGGTTTGTTTACTCCCGTGGGCCCCCCTCCCGTGGAGCGCCTGACCGCCTTCCGAATGCTTACGCCACGAGCCAAGCTGCAGAGATAGATAGTGATTATCCAATTCATGAAACTTATTCTAAACAACATTTTCGCACGTCGTTATTGAAGCTTTTGCATTGAGATTTTCCATCATATGCGGGAGCGTATAATATGTGCAGACAGATCCAATAAACACAGTGCCCCCTTCTATAAATGTACAGGCAGACTGGTGTGGGCTGAGAAAACAAGAAGAGCCGTCCATAGATTCGCCTTCAATAAAACGCCTTGCGGGCTAACATGAATGTCCAAGGGAAAAAAAAACTATTGACAGGGTCGGAGAGTAATTAAAACAACCTATATGCTAGTATGTAGGGTCGTAAACGCTTATGCTCGTAACGGGTATTGGAATGCGAGGTCGGAAAGGGCGAGGAATGGCAGCCGTGAATGTAGACCGATGGGTCAGGTCTTCTAGTTGTTGAAAAGACACATCGATAATAGAGAAATCAAGACGCCTGGTGACTATGAGTGTCATCCCTCAAGAGGTGTGTTTCGGCTGATTCAGAAGCAGGGTGTTCTTCGACACGCTCTTCAGTGATGGGTTGAGTGGTGGTGGCAGGTTGTTCGGTAGTTGGTTCGGCGGTTTGTTGCTCTTCCGGCTCCTCTTCCCGCAGAGGATTCGTGGGCGTGGTGGGAGTGTTGCTGATAGGGCTGGCCACATCGATATGGATGGTTGGCAGGGGGGTCAAGTCACGAAGCTGCGGCGCATGCTCGCCCCTCTCCGCGATTGGACTCGTATAAGGCGGCGCTTCTCCCCATTCCAGGACCTCGTACTCCGGCGGCGGGATGTTGAGTTCACCCACATCACCCTCGTCGACCGTTATTGACGGGCGATCAGCCGAATGAGCAGACGCAGCATGCGATTGCACCTGAGTCAAAGTCTCCGCATCGGAGACGTTGGATACCCCAGACTGATACGACGAGTACGACTCGCCTCGAGAATGAACGCCGGTGAGAATCGATCCTGAGGATCGATCGGGCGCTGATGCATCGGTGAGAAGAGGACGACGGTCCGAATCGGGCGACGTGGCTCTGATACGCGACCCGTCATGCCGCACGTGGCCCAGTTCTGCATAAGAGACACTGGAGATACGCCTATCGCGACCACGGTTACGAGATTCCGCCAGAGCCGCGCTGAGGTTTGAACCACTTCCATTGGCAGACGCGCTGCTTCTCGCGCGGGCCCGACTCTCCTGCCGGAGTTCTTCAAGGCGAATATAGTCCCCACGAGCACGAGCCTCCCGGCGCTCCTGTCGCCGCCATTCACGGTCGGCTATCTCCTCTCGCCGTTGCAAACGGATTTGGTAGAGAGACTCCATCAGCTCTTCTCTGCGGGATTCCTCTTCTTCGGCTGTTTCGGGGAACTCGACAACCATGTCCATGCCTGCTCGCTCCCCCTCTCGAGCGATGACCTGCTCCGTTGGCTTGGGACTGGGCGAGTAGGCGGGAAGGGTGATGACCGAGCGAACCGATGTATCCCGTCGAACATTGCTCGTATTGTTGGCGGCCGGGGTGGTAGTTCGCATCTCCGAGCCTCCTTCGGCAGGCGTGTCTCTGGTGTTCGCATTTGGATTATTCGCCCCCGGGACCTGACCGTATGAGACGCCCACGTTCCACCTATTCCATTTGTCTTTTAGGAATTTTCCAGGCAAATATTTCGGGCGACAGTTCATGCGACGGAGGGTACGTAAGACGAAATAGGTCATTAAGGCGGATGCCACGGCGAAAATGATGCAAGCGACGCACTGCAATTAGAGGAAAAGATGCATTAGTGACTGCGGGAAACCGAAGAAAGAGAGCACCCACTATTATAATGATATTATTCCTGCTCGAGTTATCATTGTCGGAGGCGTGATTTTTATCCGGGCTATTATCGGTGTTATTGGTGTTGGTGTTGGGATTGTTGATAATGTTGCCCGGACCATCCTGACGGATGTCAAATTGGCGGAAGTTGACTGGAATGTGCATGCTGTGGATTCCGGGCGATCGGGAATGAGCCCAGATCTATAGCCCCTAAGCATGCAGACCAGCTGGAAAGTCGACGATAGGAGGTATTATCGCAGGCGAAAAGAGGTTTGAAAAACCCGGATCGGAGGCGAACTGGAAATGGTAGCCTAAACCGGGAACGCTGCGGAACTGGCGGATGAACAGTGAAGGTTTGGTACTCGGTGGTATGAATGAATAAGAAAAAAGCAAGATAGGCTGCAGAAGGGGGGCCTGGGGGAAGATTTGATAAGATATTACGAATCAGACCATAGAATGCGACTGAAATCAACACGAATAGCTAGAGATAGAGCCAGCAATAATGAATGAGATGGTAAATTATGGAGGAGAAGAGACATGCGCGAATCCATGGCCTCAAGCTGTGATGGCTGGGGAAAGAAAGGACCAGGAGAGAGAATACGAGCAGGACCGCGGCAAGATTTCAGCGGCTAACTGGTGTCAGAGAATGACGATGCTCATCATTCCAAGACAGGCCTGCAAGTGGTTGTCGAATGGCAAGAGGGGAGGGCCACAGATTGGCGCTGATTGACTGATTGCTGATGCTGATGCTGATGCCGACGAGAAAGTGGCTGGGTCGCTGGCGGAGATAAAAGAGCGAATGGATTTTTCCCCCAGCCAGAAAGAAGTGACTGATCAGAAGTACTCTGGTAGTACGACCCTTGGGATGCTTCCAGACTCAGGAGGTCAATTTGATCGTGACACGACACAATTACGCATCAACAGAGTCTCTATACAAATTAAAAAGGACTCCATCGCACCCTCCCGACTAATTAAAGACGATCTCATTGTGAAACGAGAGGCGCAATACAAATTGAAGCTGCCGGGTTTTCCTTCCCGAACCACCGGCGCGTGCCATTTTTAGAACACGTTCCTTCGCTGCTGGTTTTCTGGTTGGTGTCGGATCAGCGTTGGGGGTTGTGTTCAGTTGATTTGCTCCAGGCGCCTCTCTCTCTCTCTCTAGCTTTAAGTTCAGTCAGCTTATTTGCCCAAGGAAAATTAAGCTCACTTATCATCGCCAGGGTCAACTGAGCACCACCAGGGATGGGGCTGTCATTACGGAGTACCCCATCGGAATAAAGTTCTCCCGGTTTACTAGTTGGTCTGGTTATTTGTTAGTCTCGTTATGGAGTCTCTCCTCCTGAATCCTGACCCACTCCTCATCTACACCATATTCATGTAGATAGCCGATCTCGCTTTCAGGGCAACAGACTTCCTGCCATCTTCCATCATGCCAAAAACACGACAGCTCCTTCAGTGAGAGACCACTTATCCTTACACTAAGGAGGATCGTAACATTCTTCAACTGTATCACTATGAGAAGAAGAATATATTCTTTGCCCATCCCAATGCACACCGAGCTGGATCAAAGACGATGTTGTCCCATTCGACTTCAGTTGTTCGGATGTCTGTCAGATGTTAGATGCTGAAAATTGGTTACATGGTAGTTCCAATGTTTGTATCCAGACACTGCCAACACTCAGTGCAATGCCCTGAACCTTTGAATTTCCATACAGAATTGATGAGAATTATGCCGGGCAACGAAGATGAGAAGGCTAGATGCGATGCAGAACCTAAAATGGCTTCGTGAGTACTGTCTGGACGTGCCAATCCCGGATATATATACGCTTGGCTCCTCGACAGGTCGGTCAGAGGGTATCGAGTTCGTGCAAATTGGCCGCTTTCCAGTGAAACCCACCAGCTTGAGAATGAATACCGAGTTGCGTGCATCGTGATTATGGATACTCAACTGTTGACTTATATGACTCAGACGTTCTCACATTCCATGATAATGGCCTCCAATTTCAACCAAATGCAATGAAATAACCTGGGATTCTGTGATTCAACTATATTCACTCAATGCGATGAGAACAATATCCATCATTCTTCAAGCGAGAACTTGGTCGGGGGCCTTTTGTCCCCTCGCTAGCTGACTTATGCCCGAATAACATATCCATTGATGAAGGCTGGAAAATAACTTGTCCGGTGGACTTAAGAGTGGGCCGGCTCTTCTCAGATTTAGACGATTCGAGCCTTTCATCGGCTAAAGATTGATATGATTAGAGCCTTTCATCGGCTAAAAAGTTTGGGCGTCGATCAGCTAGGGCCATCTGAGTACCGCAAGTTCGGAGATAATTCATGAATTCCCTAAAGGCCGAAGAGAAGGAAAAGACGGCATTGATGCAAATCTCCGCGCTACTATCGGAAAATTTGATAGATTGTTGATAATAGGGCCTTTTGATACCTTATTTTGGCTCTCTTCAGCCCATATGGTCTTTTCACGACCGCTGTTCTGCACTGATAATTGAAAATAATCTCTTTCGATCATGCCAATGCTAAGAAATTTGGGCCTGATGACATGTAAAAAGGTTTCTAGTAAGAAGGCGTACGACGAAGACTTAGACAGGCGTTGAGGGCGACATTCTCCAGCATGACATCTGGAGACAAATCTTATAAACTAGCCTTTTGCAGCTGTAGATCTGCTTAACAATTTGTGGACCAATAACAAAGCAGCATGCGCCACAATCATCCTGCCTTGAAAGCGCCGTTAAATCCCACCGATCCGTAAACCCTTCTTGGAATCTTACAATATCCGCTCAGGCGTCCAGCTAGCAACTACCTACTACTAAGTAGTAATACCCAAGCTACCCAGCTTCCCATCCAATCCCATCACATCCCGCAACAGCCATTGAATCTCGGAGAGTACAAACTACACCAAGTCAAGGATGATCCCAAGGACAACATGCACAGACAAACCTTCACGCATATTACGCAAGCTCCTTCCCTCTTTCAATCAGGCCTCCTCTCCGCGCAGTGCTCAATCAGAATTCAACATCGGAGATAATCCAAGAACCAACTGTATCCACCCATCCATCCCTCTCACTATCCCGGACTTAACCAATTTTACCTCCGGCAATCCCGAACCTGCCTGGCTAAACCCACTACGCCATGCCATGGAACCTACCTTCCCACATCAACTGACAGCAACACATAAGCAACCAGTTCCCCGCTCTGCGTAAAGCTTATCTTCCTGGCAGGTCGATCCTAGGTATCAACCTACTCAATAACTATTCAACTCATATCGAGAAAGACCATAGCAGAACCTAACACATACCTCAACTACCACTACGTCATATAGATATATATTTATCATCATGTCGTGTCCCGACTGCTTCAGCGGCCACGTGCACGAGGACGCTACGCCCAGAGGAACAGTCACCACCTTGCATGGCCTGAATGCATATGTGACGGAACCGACGTCCACAGAATCCCCCATCAAGGGAATCATCATCATCATTCCGGATGCGTTTGGGTGGGAGTTTGTCAATAATCGCATTCTGGCTGATCATTATGCCGATAAGGGAGGGTATAAGGTGTATTTGCCTGAATTCATGAATGGTATGTGTACTACCTATTTTTAGAGACTCGTGTGGAGGTGTACTAATATATATACTGGATAACCAGGACACGCCGCCCCAGTCTGGTCCCTAAACACCCTATCCGCAATAATGAAGACCTCATCCATCATGGACTGGATCACGAAACCGTAAGTCTCACACACACCTACCCAGCACAACTACTATAGTGCAATCTCACACGATGTAGATACCACATCGCCTGCGCCATGTACGCCATGATCCCCTTCGTCTACCACACCAAATTCACCACCTCCTGGCCCACCGTCAAGGCATTCTTCACCGCCGTACGGCGCAACGAAGGCGCCAACCTCCCCATCGCAGCTGCAGGGTTCTGCTGGGGCGGGCAACACACCGTGTACCTCGCACACGACAAAGAAGAAGACAAAGTAGATGGCAAACCCCTAATCGATGCCGGTTTCACCGGCCATCCCAGCAACCTGAAGATCCCCGCGGATATCGAGAAGATCAAGATCCCTGTAAGCTTTGCGATGGCGGAACTGGATATTGCGGTGAAAATGCCGCAAATTAAGCAGATTGAGAAAGCCGTCGGAGAGGGGGATGTGGGGGAGGTGAAGATCTACTACGGGGCTGGGCATGGGTTTTGTGTGCGTGCGGATGTGATGGTTAAGGATGTGAGGGCGCAGGCGGAGGAGGCGGAGGATCAGGCGATTGCGTGGTTTCAGAAGCAGTTTGCGAAGGTGTCTTATTGATTATTCTGCATCAGCTATGTGGGGAGGGGTGTTTGTTTATTCATACCCTCTTCTTTTTCTCCCTCATACCCCCATTTCATCCATCCACCTCAGAATCCCCCTCCTCAATCAAAGCCCTTAATTTCCCACCCTGCCGCCGAGAAAGCACCCTATACTTCCCCGCTTCCACCACACAACCCTTGTCAATCACAATAACATTATCCGCAATCTCCATCATATCCCTTGCATGCGTAATGATCAAGACAGTAAGGCCCTTCCGCGTCGCGACCAACCTCTGCACGGTCCGTCGAATGATCTTAGCGTTATTCGGATCCAGGCTGGACGTGGCTTCATCCAGGATAAGAAGCTGTGGCTGTCGCACCAGCGCCCGTGCAATTACCAGCCGTTGCGCTTGTCCCCCCGACATACCGGCCCCGCCGTCGCCTATCATAGTGAAGTAGCCCTTGGGCAGGGATGTGATGAAGTCGTCGATCCCGGCTGCTTCTGCTGCGGCGCGGATGTGGAACATTGTGCGGAGTGGGGAGTCGGGTTCGAGGCCGTAGCTGATGTTGTCTGCTACTGTGCCGGGGAAGATGGAGGGTCGTTGGGAGACGATGGTGATGAGGGAGCGGAGGGTTGGGGTGTGGATGCGTTGGAGGTCGATTCCGTTTAGGGATATAGGGGAGGTTCTGTTTGTGGTGGTGGGGGCTTCATAGAGGTTCAGGAGTAAGGATGCTATTGTGGACTTGCCGGAGCCTGATCGGCCTACGATTGCTGTGCTTTGGTTTCGGGGGATGGTGATGCATATGTCGCGTAGGACGTGTGCGTCCGGGCGGGATGGATAGCGGAAGTTTAGGTTCGTGATCTTTACTGGTGCGGCTGTGGTGATTTTGAGAGTGCCCCGGTGTTCGTGGGATGCGCCGCGTGGGAGGTGTGCGAGACGTAGGACTTGGTTGGCCATTATGTGGGAAACGCTGATCTGGGGGACTGGGGGGTGTTAGCTGTGGGCGTGGGCAATGGTTATAGGGTAGGTGGCTCACTCCATGATAGTACTGTGCTTGCGTATCCGATGCTGAAGAGAAGGACAGAGAAGACTGTCATGAGGCTGGTGACGGTAAATTCGAGCGATGATACGAGAACTGCTCCGTAATAGAAGATCAGGCCTGCGCAGGTCAGATATTTGAGAGTTTCAAGGTTTCCATATACAGCTGCTTACTGCTGACGAATATGATCATGGACTCTACCAGTCCAAAGAGAAAGCCGGTATAGACAGCTTTCTTTACTCCGAGTACCATACACAGTGCTGCTGCCTTCATATGCTTCTTGTGGAAGTAAGGCTCAAGGGTCAATGTGCGGACGGTGCGAATCTGCGAGAATGTCTCGATGAACATCTCCGACGCTGTCGTTTTAACCCCGGTGCAACGTCTCTCCCATATTCCGGTGGTTTTCTCGAGCCCTCTGGTGATGGCATAGATGATCGGCCCGCAAGCCACTGCCACGAGGGTCAGTTTCCAACAAACAGCCATGCACCATATGATAGCTACCACGGTGACTGAAGTGGCCACCAGGACGTAGCCACCGAAATGACCGACCAGGTTTCGCATCTCCTCGGCGCTGTGGTTGAGGGACGAGGTGAGTTGGGAAGGTTCATTTCCTGCTTCTTCAAACCATTTTCGTGGCTGGTCAAGAATATGATGAAAACCTCTTTTGCGGAGACGGTCAACCCACGCCTGACCACATAGCTCCAGAAGATAATGCATCAGGAACGATATAACGCCGTCACCTATGGCTATTCCCAGGACTATCAGTGACCATGTCGAGGCTTTGGCTTGCTTGTTGTAAAACGTCTCAAGGAGCTTCGATAGGCAATAAGAAAATAGCGGAGTAGCCATCGAGTGACCTAGGGTGCTGAAACATCCTAGCAAAAGAAGCAGCTTTTGACCTCGAGTCAGGTTAGGAAGTATGGTCAGCATGATCCGCCCCAATGACATGCTTTCTTGTGGCGCGAGCCGTGCTGCATTCTTGTATGACCGCTTGCTTCGGTGCTTCGATCTGGCCCTGTTAATCTCATTGACGACATCATTCACAGGAAGTATACTTTGTCTGAATCGGTTGGACTGGAAGTTCGTATCATCGACATGGACGGTATTGAGCTCGAACATCTGCATTCCAATCGACTCACGACGTGGTCTGAACCTTTGAGTGTCTGCAGATTGACGAATGCTCTGTATGCTTCTTTTGTAGCCGTGGATAGCATAAGAACGCTGTGCAAGCTCGCTGTGTCGAGAGAACGAATCAGGGCTTGGACCGCGTGTACCCTCGATTGAGGACCTTGAAGAAACACTGGAGCATCGATCAGAAGAACTGTGGACAACGCCATGCTCACTTTCCTCACGATGGAGTTTGTCCGAGGCAGCAAAACACGTATTGCTCTCCTCCAGTTCATGTCTGTAGCCAGCTTGAATAACCGAGCCTTGGTCCATGATGTAGGCAAAGTCATGATCCATGATTTGCGACATATCATGTGTGATGATGATAGTTGTTTTCCCTCGACGCCATTCCCGGATAGCTTTTGTTATTTCGACGCGGTTGGTGGCATCAAGCGCACTTGTAGGCTCATCCATTATCAATATAGGCGTATCCCTTAACCGTGCCCTCGCAATCGCCACCCTTTGCTTTTGACCACCACTGAGAAAATCACCACCATGACCGACACATGTATCAATTCCCTTGGGTAGATCGTCTATTGTGCTTTGTAGCCTCGCAAGATCGATACATTCACGTACATCAACCTTGCTGAGTCCTTCATAGTTGCGGCTACCAAAGGCGATATTCATGAAGATGGATTCGTTGAACAAAACGCTTCGCTGCTCCAGCAGAGTAATATTGTTCCTTATCCAGTCGATGCTCAAAGATTGGATGGGAACCCCGTCTATCAGAATCTCTCCGGACTCTGGTAAGTAGAAGCGTGTGAGCAGCTGTCCAAGCGTACTCTTTCCAGATCCACTTCTGCCAATAACGAAGGTTGTCTCTCCGGCGGGAAAGAAGAAGCTTGTCGACTTCAAAACCGGTCTGTTCGGTTGCGCTGGGTAAGCAAAGGAGACCTGATAGACACATTATAAGCTCAATGTACCACACAACTTTCCTCGGATATCATCACACTTACATTGCTGACCTCGATATCGCCTTCGCAAAACTTCGGATAAACGGAACCCATCCCCTCCCCTCGAACAGTATCCTCTGACTCCGAGCTCAAAGTGTGGATCAGAGCAATGGCTGCATCCTTTCCTTTTGCTAGGACGACAATTTGTGGCATGAGGAACTCCATTGACTGGGCAGCTGCTAAGCAAGCCCAGAATGTCCTGAGCACTTCTCCTGCTGAAATCTCACCGGAGGTAGCCAAAGAGCTCCCATACCAAAAGCCCTGCACGAACATTCCAAATGTCATCAGTCGCAATATGGATATTTGTAGAGATGTTAAGCGCGCGCGTTTGAGGTAATGTATAGCGGCATTGTCAACGCTGCTCACGAAGTTTCGGATCTCGGTATCTTGCCCGTTGAAAGACTTGACGCTATCAATTGATGAAGTAGCATTGTCGACTATCAGCGATAAATGACCCAGCTCTGTCTTCTGTGCCTCCATAGACGAGTTCGCCCTGGTAGATAGGAAGGAGAGAGCAGCCGAGAGGAAGGGGATTCCCGCCAAAGTGGCCAGAGTAAGGTTCCAGGAGGTGAAGAATGCTAGGGCTAGAGAGAAAATGGCTCGAAAACTGTACTGCAAAGCGAGGCCGAGAGGCTGCGATGTTGCTTTCTGTAGGTCTTCGATTTGTCTGGAAGATTGCGTCAGCTAGGACAGTGGCATACAAGAGTGCGACATACCCCTGGAGAGAAGATAGAAAGACCCTCGTGCCATCCGGCTGCGTTTCGAACCATTCCTGACTCTTCTGTAGAAGCCTTTCGAAGAGCTTGGTGCGAGCATTCGCAACCTGAAATTCTCCGAATATCACGAATAGAATGAAATAAACACTATTGCAAACCCAATTGATTGCTCCAAGTCCAACCAACTGGACAGCGTATTTGCTGATCTGTGGCGTTAGGTCCTGTTTTGCAACTTTTCCTCCACCGAACAGTGTGAACGTATTGAATATCTCGCCCAAGAGTACGGAGAATATGGGAACCGAAAGACTAGAAATGGCCGTAAATGTAAACCCTCCTATGAGCACTGGAAGATGCTTCGTCGTTGTGAAGCTGAAGAGCGACATCCACCTCGGTCTCCGATGTATGAAGCGCCTGGCGCCAGCAAGGAAGGCCGCCATGATGAACTATACAGGCTGACCAGGGCGGGGGATCTTCAGTTGAGCATTTGGTCTTCGACTCCAATATTTAGGTGTCGTATAAGAAGACATGATGATGGTAGGGAAGTATAAAGTGCTAGGGCGTCATATAGAAAAACATAAGCGAATGATGAACACCCAACAAACAGGCGTCCAAGTACTTCTTAGCATAATCATCAGAACAAAGAGCTACGTTCGTTTTCATATTAGCCCATCTGGCCGGATATCAAGCACTTTCCATATGCGGGCATATTGTAGATGAAAAGAACAATGGGTTGCGTTGCCATTGTTCTCGGGTACACCTGAAAAATTAAGTGGGTCAACCACACGTCTTTCTATCCATCACTGCATTCCAAAGCATCGATTCAGCTCGTTATATGTACAGGTATCCACTCCGGTAGTAGCACCCTAGGGCGCCCTGTCGAGGGGCTATCCCCACTCTTTTATAGGGTCATATACGCTATGCTGGACCACCCGGATGAGACCTATGGGCCATGGTAGTAAATGATGGCTGTCGAACTCAAGAACTTGAGTTACTGCATAGTCTCGAGACGCTAGCAAAGCAAGGACGGTAAAGGCCCGGATGAACCATTCCGTCTAGCCGCCGTTCCTGCACGGCCCAGATAAAAAGCGCAGCTTCACATCTATTTGTTGGCCTTCTGCGCGCGCTCGTAGATCCAGTCGTTGAGACCAGCACGGTTTCTGATCCATGTATGAGTATCCAATTGTTTCCAGTTCTTATTGAAGCGGAAAGACTCACCTAGCGATCTCGACGGCGTAGAACTGCATACGCATGGCTATCCTTCTGTTAGCTAGCGTTCCAACCCCCCAGACAAGCCACACAGCCATGTTCACTTACCGAAGATCGTGGTATCTCTGTCGTATTCGACCTTGGGGCTAGCACGCAGCATGGTACCGAAGTTGAAGTCCTCGATAATCTTCTCATACTGGTTGATCCAGTTACGCCACTTCTCCTTGCCCTCCTTGCTCTTCATCTTGTCTTCATCGAGCGTCTCGGCAGGGTCGAAGTCGGGGAATTCCTTCTGGAAAGACTCGAGGATCTCGTCGTCCATCTTGGTCAGGCGGAGTTTCGAGCCGGGGACCTTCTCCAGAATCGACCAATATGTCATCAGATGTTCGACGGCTGCATAATCGTGAGTCATGGGACGAATTCGAATAAGAGATGTCCGGACCAACCCTTAACGGCAAACTGCTTCTCCATCTGCACGAAAGGTCAGCATTCTCGGTCGGAATTCTGAATAGGCAATCTAGGCGCAAAAGTGACATACATCCTCGAAGTTCTCCGCCGTCTCTGGATCAAAAGGCTTCGACATCTTGGCGGTTGTGTGGACGGTAAATAATTACACAAGAAGCAGACAATATCAAAAGAAGAGTGTAAAGGTAGAAAAATGTTCTATTCGCTGGCTAACAGTCAGAGTAGTCGAAAAGGAATCGAAAAGTGAGTTGCCCCGCGCCCGACTTCTTTTTCCCGCAGGCGGAGAGATTTTTGCGCCGCCGCCCTTCAACCCCGCCGCTCGCGATTGGGCCGTACGTCATTTACAGATCTTAAAAACACCACCAGGCATTAAGAGTCCGGTCTATGTACGCTCTAGTTCATCTACGTTACTAGCATGAATATTTACAACTCAGATCTCTATTTCGGCCTGCGAATCTATTCAGTTTGCTATCTAGATTGCTCGCTGTCTGAGAAATGCCATGTCCGGCTAACTAATCTGCCTCTGCCGCTTATTAATTGCATAGCAATCCAGCGATGCTAGATCATACTGGAAAGATCCAGAAATGGCGGACGAACGCAAACGCCACTCAATGCTCTTCTGACAAACAGTCTTCAATCCAATCAAGGTTGACATACTGATTCATAGCGTATGATTCATCGAGATCAAACAAAGGTAAAAAATCTCTTATCGGCGGCGAACAGAGATTAGACTATGGTACAGGGAAGCAATGTAAGGAAACGAAGAATAGCATGATGTCTAATCACTGTCGTCGGAGTCGGGCAACTCTTCGAAACGTCCTTCATGGAGGGCGCGCGTGACAGGATTCTCCACCTGAAGAATGCCGTTCGCTCTGGCTCTGTTATGATACTCAGCATTTATTAGTGTAGGTAGAGAAAGGGTGAGGCTTACCGCTCAAACAACACAAATAATCTCTCTGCCTCTCTTTCTTTCTCCTCTTTGGTCATAGGAGGGCCCTCGTCCTTCTTCTCTGCAGCCCACTTCTGGCCAGTAATAGGGTTGACATCTGGATCAAAACCGTTCGGGTTGGTTGCGAATGCTTCGCCTGCCGTCTTAGGGATTTCCATGCCGCGAGAAGCTAGTAGTCCTGCAGCGAACCCATATCCGATATTCTTTGTCAGATTTTCGGCGTCTTTGCCGGAGAGCACAAACATAAGCTCGGAAATAGCAGTCTTCAGATTAGGATAGGGCGTGGTCGATAGATTGAGTAACTTCGATGAGAGTGTGTCTGATTGTCCAATTGGACGGCTTCTATCATTTTCTTCGGGTAGAAGAAGCCATTGCATATATTTGCGGGGGCCGTCTGGGGCCATCTCATGAATAACCACAAGTGTATGGAACAGGGGTATAGCCTTGGTCTCCAGCTCGTCAGGACCGTATGCGGACACAGCTTGATCCAAGATGTTGATCAGCTTGTCGACATTGCAGTTCTGGTTGAAGGTCGGGAAAAGGGGGCTACTCTCGAAGACTTTGCCCTTTTTGTTTTCCAGATCAAGCGTGGACAGGCAGTTCAGAAGATAGCTGAGGAGGCCTTCCAGAGGCTTTGGAGGGATATCGATGCGGTTGATAATCTTAAAGATGTGAGGGATCGAAGCCGAGAATGTCGCGGCCAAATCAGAATAGATCTTAGAAACATTGAAAATGAGTTTCAAGGTATCAGTAAGGGCCAACTCGTCCATCTGCGACAGAGACTTTTTGCCAGACTTGGGAAATTGTTTAGCGTGTCGAACGATTTGCTGGATTCAGTCAGCTTCCATCATATTCCGGTTTGTGCAAGACACGCATTAGCTTACGTAGTTGACATTTTCACCCAGAGAGTGGTGTCTGATAAGATTGTCAAAGTCCATTGTGGTGTCATAGGTAGAAAGGAACAGGATCCGACTGATCACCATCTCGTCCTCCGAGGAATCACACTGATTGATGGTCAACATCTGCACGAGCTGGTTGACATAAGTGGATGGGTATACCTTGAGCCTCTCAGCCAATTTACCCCCGTAGCCTGTGTCTACGAACAGCTGGCGCATCGATCCATCTAAAAGGAGAGCATTTGCGACGCAGCGTAGAGCGGCACGACGCACATCCGGGGTATCCCCATCAACACCATATCTGGCTAATACTTCTATCCCCTCTTTAGAGTAAATAGGTTGGGCATGGCTGGGGTTGGTCCCGTGCTGCCTCAACTCCAGGAGTGTCTGCACGCGTTCTAAGGCACGCAGGTGACTAGGTCAGACCGGTACATTTTACATTCCCTGTGTACTTACCCTTCGAAGTGAGAGACTTCGCCTCGAGGTCCGTTTTGAGAGAGCCCAGTAATTTAGTGACTCGCTGCAGCTTCTCTAGTCGCTTGTTAATTGAGATCTATACAATGAAGTGGCTTGTACATACCTGGGCCTTGGAGCGGCCTGAAATCCATGATCAACTTTTGCTTAGCGCAATTCTATGCGCCGGAAGTGAAGTGTGTCAAGGGGTAACTGCTGGCTTGCAATAGCCGTCTTACGGGGCGCGGTGAACCCCTACTAGTTTGTCCAGTAAGTCCCACTTAGCTTGGGCTTGATCAAGTCGCAGCGAAAGCGGGTCTCCGCGATCAAGGACAGAGTAGTTGGAGAGGTGAAAACCAGTCCAGAGGTTATGGGATGATCTGGAGTATCTTTCTTCGCCGATGGGCTGTAGTGAATTCCGGTGCTGGAAGCAGCGCAACGGATAAGGATAGGAGCTAATGTTGCGCTGATGAATAGAGATCCGCAGCGCAATAAAGCAGAACCCCACCGGATAGCACTAAGCGGCTGCACAGTATCTCCGCAGTCTGTACATGCAGCAATGGTATTAGACATAAGGTTGACGAGATGGACATAAATCAATGCATGCGGTCTGTGGTTAGTAGTTAAGTAGACGAAACTTACATTGACAACTCGTTCTGGGTTCGAAAACAACCAACGTGAATGGGGGAAACGAGAAAATTGAAGATAATAACTAAAGAATTGGGGGGAGGGCAACTCCGGTTCATCTCCGAAGCCTTCTCCGTGGTGCCTGAGTGCCTTACTGCCTTGGGCATGAAACGCGGCGCTGCCACTTTACGCGTGGCTCAGCCACAGGCGCGTCTTTTTGAGTTGCGTGGCTTGGCGCGGCCCCGGTAGGATCAAACTGGCACGGCTATCCTACTTTCACCAGGGCTTTGATCCTTGCTCATGCTTGTCGACAGCTTCGGTCTGGGTCATGGACAGCGTGGTTTTCTAGCTAGGCTGTATCGCGATGTTCCTTCTCCTTCTTTCATTCTTGTCCCCGTTCTTTTCGTCGTCCGATTCTGTGAAATATGGTGGAGGTTCTCGGTCCTCTGTCTGCTCGTCCGCCTACTCCACCTAGGACATCATCTCGTATGCTGTCTGAAAATGATCGAACTGAAGATTCTCCGGTTGTTGTACACACGCCTCGCGACTCTCCCTTCTCCGTCAATGGCTCAACTGGTGCTCCGTCAAGTCGACAATCCAAGCGCGTGAACTTCTCACCATGGACAAGATACATCAAACCTCCCTCGTTTACCAATTCCGCCGCGAAATCTAAATCTGACCTGAAGTCCCTGCCTCCCTCGAACGAATGCAAACCTACAAAATCTATCCTCAAACCGACCACATCTCACTCTGCTACCAATTCGCCGTCTGCTGAACCTCAAGCTCCCATTTCCTTCGCCATGCTTCTAGAGTCGATCTTACAACAGCTCGCTGGAGAGGC